TTATTAATTATTTTAATTATAATTATTTATTATTTTAATCCCAGTATTTATAATAATAAATTATTTTTACTTCTTAGAATGATTGGAATCTGATTTAAAACAACAACAGATTTAGGCTGACATGATGATACATCAAATACATTGTTATTGTGTAAACTCTCACTGGCACAGTCGACTAATTGTTGACACAATTATCAACACTGACCTCTTCCTGTCACCACAGCATAATATCCTAGAGCTTTCATTGGGAATAATGAGCCATCCAGTATTGATAATATCTAAAAGAGAAGGAAGATTACTGAGTGAGTGAAGAATGAATGGAATAATGTGTATACAGTCAGGCCTGTCTATTCTGGACACCTTGGTACCCAATAATACCCTCCTGATTATGAACCTGTTCTTATTTCAGAGGTTCATTAATACACATTTATATTGTATTGGGACTGATACTACCTGTCCTGATTATAGAGGCCTCCTTATTTTAGAGTGTCCATAATAGCAGGTTTTACTGTATGTGTATATGTACATGTACATGTATATTAACAGTCAATGATGGGCAGATTAAGACCGTGCATATATAGTACATACATTGTAGCTAATAGAGCAAGAGCAGAAATGTACATGTACACATGTATGGTGTAGGTGGATTTGATTAGGAAAGAGTATGAGAGGGAGAGAGAGAGAGGAGAGGAAAAAGACAGGAGAGAAAGAGCCAGGTGTCATGATTAAAGATAATATAGTGTGGGGGAGTGGAGGAGGCATAACTTACTCTCTCTTGCTTCAATCCATTGCTCTCTGCCATGTCAACCTTAGTCAATACAAATATAGTTCTGTGACCTGAGGAGAGAGAGAGAGGGAGAGGGAGAGAGAGAGGGGGAGAAAGAAAGGAAAGAGAGAGGGAGAAAGAAAGGAAAGAGAGAGGGAGAAAGAGAGAGAGGGGGAGAGGGAGAGGGAGAGAGAGAGAGGGGGGAGAATAATCTTGATAAAAAATTAATCAACAGACATACCATTAGGATCCACTTGACTAGCCAAATCAGTGACAATACTCCTCTCAGCATCAACTGACCCATCTTAAACAAATACACCAACAATCCTCATCAATCATTAACAGCTAATGGACATTACCTTGTACACACATGACTATGGCATTAGGATTCTGCATATACTGACTGTATCAATGAATCAATGAATGAATGAATGTGTGTGTATGTGTGTGTACGTGTATGTGTGTATGTGTGTATGTGTGTGTGTGTGTGTGTGTATGTGCATTATTAAAATATCATAAACATGACATATGTACATTGTATCACTAACCGACACATTTTCATGATATCTTCCCTAGTATTGGCAGCCATGCCTGTAGTAACAGTCTACACATACAATACAGTATAAGAGTTATGACAAGGGCTCTACTAGACTAGCTGATAGCTAGGTTATAGATAAACTACAGATTAGGCTGGTATAAGATATCAATTATTACAAGGTTTGGTTTGGCTAAAATGCCTTAATCTAATGATTGGGAATTCCTGAA